GAGAGATAACAGATCTTGCGAGTTAACAAAGCTGTGGTAAAATTGCACCAGCCAACCTGAACTCATTGTAACAGTGGAGCTTCAGTGCTTCTGTTTGTTCGCATGTGAGAACACTTACTTCACTTTGGACAGGAGTGTAATGCCGGCTTAACCTCACCACACTCGGTGTCATGGCTGACGCTCAGAGACATTTAACAACAGCAAAACAAAATAATCCTTAATATGCTTTTTAAAGATCGTGTGAATATGTGCATACCTTCACCTCTGCACAAATGTACAACCTAAAACTAGCAGCCCTGTGCATTACAAGATAATACATATTTGAGTGAGATCTGAGGGTCATGGGTCAATTTGGATTTATCATGTATTTGATTGGGCCGATACCAAAAATGTCATGTGCGAGCTTCAAGCACTGACCATTACCATTTAGAGGAGGCTCTGTGTCGAGGTGTGAACTTAAAGCAATAGTTCAACAGTTGGGGAAGTATGTTTTTTGTTTATTTGTTTTTTTTGGGGTTTTTTTGCTGAGAGTTAGATGAGACGACCACTCTCATATCTGGCTGTTAAGTGTGAAGCCAGCAGCCGCCTAACTTAGCTTAAGGACTGGAAACAGTGGGACTCCAGGAAGTCACTGCGCCTGGCAAGAATAGTTAGCAAGTATAAGTCCCTGAAAAAAACACAACTTGTAATTTTCATATTTTTGTTTGAATGGATTAAATAAACAGGATATAAAATGTTAATTACTGACTTTTACAGGTGCTGGTAGACAGATTATTTGATATAGTTTGAAAAGAGTTAAATGATCTGTTTCCTCCTGCTTCCAGTCTTTAACGCTTGGCTAAGCTAATTGCTTCCTCACTCTTGCTTTGTACCTTCTTTATCGATTTTCTCATCTAATTCTTGGCAAGAAAACGGATTAGCGTATTTCCCAAAATGTCAAATATTCCTTTAAAACTCACCTCCAGTCACAACTCACCCCTGCAAATCCATCTTGGGCTTCATCTGAAACAGGAGTTGAGTCTTTTTGTATTCTGGGTTACAAAAAAAAGGTCATCCAGCTGGCAGCAAGTGAACAGAGCCTCATGGTAGAATGATGTAGGGTCTGCACAACCATTCATGTTTCATACCAGTGAGGTGGGTTGAAGATAATTGGATAAATAGGGCTAGCATACTGTATACTTGTTAAGGTTTCATTTTTTTGGGTGAACTGTTCCTTTAATCACAGTCTGTGTGTGTGATTCTTATTGCCTAGTCAGGATATTTCTAATCTAATATATAAGTTCTCTGCTGTCACTCCCCAGCCCCCCCGACTCTCTTCCTATAAGTGGAGTGGATGTTACATAAACCTAAATGGAGGAGAAAACCACCTGCAGCCAACACGAGCTAGTGGCATTCGCCGAGTATGTTTTTCTGAAGTTGAAGCCACTGGTTAGGAAGTATTAATAGTTCTGCTCTGTGAACATACTGTATCTCTCAACATGTTCCTCTTTACGGCTCTGTGACCTTGTTTCTTCATTCATCACCCTGTCCTGTCCACTAACTTTACATTGACTCTAAGACCTCTCTCCCACTCGGGCTGCCTACTTCATGCCGCTAGTCCTTCCTGATGCGCCGCTCTCAGCGTACCAAGACTTAACGTAGGAGCAGATATACAGCGGTTCTTGCCAGATTAAAAGCTCTTTGCAAAAACATCATGTGCTGGTTGATATCAAAATAATAATAATAAAGGGTGCAACAGTAGACTCACCAACTCACATCCTGATTATTTAAGGAGAATTGTTGTTTTTGCTGAGTGTCTTTAACAGTTTGTGTTTTCTGTCTTGTTGAATTAAACAGGCTAACTGTTTCATTTCTACCAGTCTATTCTGAGGGATTCTGGTGAACAGACACATTTTTCATGACATAAGGATAGAATAAGAACAGAATAAATAATAAATGACAGACAGAATCTCCGAGGTAACCTCTGATATTCCCCCGTCTTTATGTTTACTTTGATAGACATCAGCATCTCTACAGGTCAACTTCCATCAATGGCTGCCAAGAGTCAGCAGCAGAGCTGAACGATTGACTTGGACATGTAGCATTCATTATGTCAAGTGTAATGCAACCTGTATGTGAACAAGTCCAGAAAAGACCACCTAGCCACGCTAATTCAAATAAACCAGCAAACCAAAATGGAAACTTTTGCCTTGTTCGCTTGAGCATAAGGCTGATGTTAATAGACACCTCAGAGAAAGGTTAACTAGTATTTCAAAGTAAACAATCAACTGGACACGCGCTGTTGTCGACACGTGTCCTGTTCACTGAATCTCATCCGGCTTTGTCCCTGCGGCTGCAGTGGTCTTGCTGTCCTGTGCTGTACCTGTCTCCTTCATTATTGAAGAGAGACGACCTGACTGTTGTGGTTTTGGTCTGCTGAGGCTCAGCAGGAACTTGACCCCTGCCTCCTTACAGGTCCTGGCAGAGGGTCATTGCAGCAACACACAATGCAGTATTCAAGGCCAGTCTAGTAGTCTAGTAAAATATTGAACACAACAATGTGCTGACAAAGGGACATCCTCACAATGAGAACAATGGCAAGGACAGACCTGTGTATTCTGATATCCTTGTTACTTATTTTTAGGTTTGGGGAACTGTATATGCAGTATTTATGTTTAAAGTATGCTTATGCAACACCTGTGCAGTAATCTTTGCTTTGTGATAAGCCCCAACACACGCACGTGAGAATTGTGCAACTCTAGAAGCGTGCACACGGTTGCTCCTAGTTTGTCTAATTAGACAGTTTTACTGTCCATCCTGTTTTCTGAACGCGCATGCGCACCATGTATTAACATGTTAATCACATTTAATCACATTAGGTGTTTGAATCTGGAACAGTTCATGGTTTTAGAGTCCTGAATGTACAGTGGCCACAAAACAGTGTTGAGCAGAAAAACTCTACTAAAGCATGATGCAGTCGAGCAGGATTTTTAGTGAAGAAGATATTTTTCACATTTTGAGACAAACATCCATCATTGAAACACTCAAGCAGACATGCTCCACTAACCGTTTTGGTCCGTAAGCTGGTTTTGGTTTGGGTTATCTCTGTTCATGACGCAGCGCAGCAGCCCCCTGAGGAGGTATTTTACTCATACAATTAAGAGGCAGTTAATTGTACATCAGCTCCAGTGGGTTTCCAGAGGGGACTTGTGTTAACCTTGTTCACTGCACCTTAAGGACACATGGCCCCACTAGACTTCTCTTATCACTCCCTCTTCTCCCTTATGACTGACCGTGTTTGCTCATAAGTCAGCAGGCTCCTATACGTGACGTCGTCAGGCTCTCGGATTCAAACTGTAACACGATTACAGGACCTCACTGACCAAAATAAGATCTTTTTAATGAGGCTCTTTTGTAGAAAATGACTTTGACGCAAATGCTTTACTTGCAAAATTGGATATGATTTCATTATTTTTCAATATCTCTCGATCTCACTGAAACATCTGATGGCTCAGAAAAAGGTTGATTTTTTTTTTTTTTTTTTTTCTGCCGTGTGCGGTTTTTGAGAGAGAAAACAAAAGGATATAAATGAATAGAGGGGCTCTGCTAACGTCCGTGGTGGTTCAGTGAAGTAAGAGTGGAACTAATGATGTTGGATGATGGAGTGAACATTTAATTGGATTAACTCTTCTAAAATAGGAAGTAATGTGAATGGAGATATATCAAAAAGAAACTTAAAGCATTTAATGAGCCTTTTTTATTTGTTTCACACAAATGTAGCCCACTTAGCCTACTTAGAGGGGACGTGATACCGTTGAGATTTCCATATTTATTTTAAACGGTTTAGTCAGTGTTTTTGGACTTGTTGTTCAGGCCACATTGAAAGAAGTGTTTTTGTTAGTCACTGCAGCAATTCAGCAATCTTATCGTGGCTTCACAAAACACCCACAGACACACACAGTCCCACTCACACATGCAGTCAAAAGCACCGTCATATAACACACACATCTGCACACACACATGCAGCACACCTATCCCCTGTCTCCCTCTCTACACCTTTTTCATTTCAACTGTATTTCTACACAAGCAGTCTTACAAAAATAAATTAGATATCCTCCCACGTGCTCACTTTAACTCCTGCACATGTTACATCATCTCCGATGCCACATTCCTTTTGTGTCTTTTACACTGCCAGCTTATCTCGTGAAGGAGGTTGACCAGAAGTAGCACACTTCATTTTGGACGTTTAATCACTCCTTAGATCAGAGATATTTGAAGCAGTCGAACTATTACGGTCTGAAGATGCACTATATATGCGTAAGATATGCTAATTCATCCAAGTCAGTTATATCTGTGCATATAACAAATCTCATATGATGTTGTCTTTTATCTAGGAACCATCGACTTCGAAAAGTTGAAAAACTTGCACAAAAGAATTAAAAGACCCAACCAAAGCTGTTATTGTCAGCAGAGTCTGGGCTGTGACAGGCTCAGAGACGCTGGCTTTAGCAGCAAGTTGTTGTGAGTAGTCGAGCCTCCGCGTTGCTGTGGGGGATTTGAGTCAGATGGCGGCTGAGGGATCCGGGTGTGCCGTGAGAAAATTGTGTGGATGTCATGGTGGGCCTGCTTAAGACCCACTTCCTGTTTTCGACTTTTCCCTGACATTTTGCTGTCAGCACACGTGTTACTGTCCTTACTTACCCATCCAATATACATGTGTCAGTGCTGCAGGAGATGCAGGCTGGCTTCAAATCCATACAAAGCTGTGTTCTGAGTTTCCATGACCGTAAGCTCCCACTGCAGTAAGAGCAGACATGTCTCACATTACAGAATGATGTATGTATGTATGTATGTATGTATGGGGTTGTTTGTTTATTTATTTATTAATTAAGCCTCATTTTTTAACTTGGATTGAAGTCCTACTCTAATGGCCACAGCCACCACCGGCGTGCAAAAATATCATAAATCACCGCCACCCCAGTGCTGCATTAACGTTAATGTAATTCTCTCTGTTTTGACAGAAACCTTGGGAAGTCGGGACTGCGGGTGTCCTGCCTCGGATTAGGTAAAAGTCTCTTGGATCATGAGACACACTGAGAAGTTTGCTGCACCCAAAAGTGTAACAGATTTGAGAGGGGAACTCATAACCTCATGGTCTGTTATCTTCAAATTGGGAGTAAAGAGTGTTTTTTTTCCCCCCAAAGTGTGAAAATATAACTTCAGTGGAAAGTTGCAGAAGTTATAAAATGGCTCTTTATTAGCTTGTTGCCTGTACACTATGCGCAGTATAGTATCACTGTTAACTCTGTGCACATGTGTTAAACACACATGTACTTATACTCTGTCATCCTCTGCAGGAACATGGGTGACCTTCGGTGGACAGATAACGGATGAGGTGAGAGCAGATGGATCTTCCATTAGTCAAAGCTTGGGAATGGAAACCCTCCATATGATCTGGCGTATCTTGGATTACTCAAGAAGCCTATTTTTACATATAGTGAAAACATACTGCCAGAGGTAGTCAACAGCTAGAGAATACACACGTAATAGGAAGGCAAAGCCATTGCAGCCTAACACCTCACCCCCCCCCTCATCCTTTCCCCTCTCTGCTCCTTCTCCCCTGCTCTCTCAACAGATGGCAGAGCAGCTGATGACTCTGGCCTACGAAAATGGCATCAATCTGTTTGACACAGCGGAGGTCTACGCTGCTGGGAAGTGAGTACATCCTGTGCCACAGGTCACTTAGCAGTGAGCTGGAACACCATATATTATAAGTGAGCTTGTATACTAGTTAAGGTTGCCCTGCTTTAGTGTTGAGTGCAAGCTCCGATCCACAGTGGTGCACAAGGCAAGGCATTAGAAAGGATGTAAACAGTGGACTGATACATCCAGACTTGTGCTCTGAGGAAGTCTACTCAGAGTAGGATAATCCTTGATATTTAAAGGGTCAGTTTACCTAAATCACCAAAACATATTTTACACTACTATAGGCGTGTAGCCTATGTTAGAACCACCGCTGCTGCCCAAGTACAATGGAGGTAAATGGATTTTTGTTTGAGTAACTCGGAGACAAAGTTGTTAAAAATTACAACAACAAAAAAAACTCATCGGCTTCTTGTTGCAGTAACATTCATGAGGGTTCAGATATTCAAAGTCTTTTATAGGACAGTCAGTGATGATATTTTTAACCTCAGAAAGCAGCATTGGATTGTCTTATTGCTGTTAGTAGTGATGGTTTAACTTCTACCATGGATTAATCTGGCTTTGTTGTAACTTGGGTGCTTTGAAATAATCTAAGGGATTATCCTGTGCAAACAGTATCTCTGATTAACCACACTAAATCCTTTTTTTTTTTTTAAGCCTCCCAAGAATATTCTTGTATTGCCATTATGTTTGGGGAGATGTAGCAGAGTGCCACGCTCTCTCAAAAGCAAAACACATAAGAAACATGCAGTAGGTCTCAGTGGTTTTTCTCATTTAATGCCTCAGTAGCTGTTGTCTGCTAGACGTCATCGCTACATTCTTCTGGGGCGCTTTCAGCAATCTGTTTTCTTTGTTGTTTTAGGATGGAGCCAGAAAAAGTTGATCTTTGACACAGAAGTATTACCAACACTTGTTAAAACTGTTCAGCGCGTGCACATGTTTTTTGACAGCATGTCACCCAGCTCGGTGTGTGTCGCACAGGTGTTAATCCTGACAGCTTCCACTGGAAGGCAGCTCCGAGGAGCTTATATTACTCTCATACACAGGGGTAGAACAAATCACACACTTCACACAGAATACAGAACATCAGAATGAAAAAAGCTTTCATGTGAAGTCCTTGGTTCTGGCTCACTGTGATTCCTTAATCACTCAGACTCCAAGTGGTGTTGGTGGCTTCACAGTCAGGCCAATGTAATACTGGTTCTGTGTTGCGAGCATGGACAGATAAACGAGGTTTGTAAGCTGCGCTCACACTCCTCGCCCTGCCTGCTCACGCACAGTGCTTGGCAGTTGTTGGCAGTTTGTTTTGCATGTTTGTTCTGGCTTAGCCCTACAGAGACGAGAACCAGTCACAAAACAAACATTCAACACACAGAGGTATTTATACATTGATTGTGATTCCCAACTGGCATATCCATCCCAATATTGCAGGCTACTGTTTCTCAGAAATATAAATAAATATGTGTAATTGCACAAAATAAACACGTTGTGCTTATCAGCACACACACACATGGCGTCAAAGCATTTCAAAGTATGCGAGTAATTGGCAGACCAGAATTTCCTTCTTCGTTTTCTTCATTTTCTTTCAGGCTTACACATTTTGCTCTAGATGCATAGTAACTGCATGATGTTCCGTGAAACCAGTGACAATATGAACAAACCATTACAGAGAAATCTGAAAGTAATAAAATATTATAAAACCATGAATAATGCAGCATTATGTCATGGCTTCTGCCGGAAGTCATAGCATCGACTCTGCACTGGAATAAAGAGCTAATTAATGGATGCACGAAGAAAGTCATCCTGCTCAAGGCACACTGTACCTTATGTTTGGACTCTCAAATTACTCACATTTCAGAAGGGCAACACACAGAGCACTGTGTGGGTGTTTGGCAGAGACACATAAACACACCGTTATGCACACAAACACGCACGTTATTGCTCTCAGGGGAACGCTTGAGTGCTCGTTGTTTAAAAAAGGTGTGGGTCCAGCTGGCAGGGTCTGAAACTGCTTGTTGGATCAGCAGACTGTACCAGGCACTGGGTGGGGGTGGGGTGGTGGTTAAATTGTTAATGACCTGACCTCCTTTAATAAATGGCAAAAGAGGAATAAAATAATGAATACACATATGAAGGGTTTAATATTAAGCTTGACAACAATATCATGTCCTCTGGATAAACAAGTAATATCTTTCTAGTTCTTTGCATTTTCATACTTCCTTGCTTACCCTTTGCAAGTACCTGCAAGGTGTTGGCAATTAATATAGAGCAAGGCACAGCAAACTGTCAAGAATCACACAGAGAAGATCATTGAGTCAGTCTCTAATAACTTATCCTCTCAAGGAGAAGAAAGATAAAAAAAATACAAGGTGGGGATGAAGATCTGAAATCAAATGATCAAATGTTTAGCATAAACTATCAAACAGAAAAGGGAGAAGGATGATGGACTGTTTGTGACTGAGGTCATGTTACAGTGTTTCCCGCTCACTCAGTGACTGACCGCTAACCAGAGTAGGGCAACTAACCATTGGTTTCATTATAGATTAATCTGCAGATCATTTTCTCAATTCATCATTCAGTCTATAAAATGTCAGAAAATAGTGAAAATGCCCATCACAATTTGTAGTTTAGCTGACTGTCAATGTAATTGTGGTAATTAGATATGTATCTGACTGCCTTGCTACAGACACATCGCCACTGGAAGGAGCACTAATGCGCTGTGTCATGAGGAGATAAATTAAATTATTGTTGTTTTCAACACACTTTCTCCAACAAAGCACCCTTTATTTGAAAGCTGCATCGATTACAGCAGCTAGCTTTATTTATCAGTGCAACTAAAACAAATGAAAACAAATCTTCTCCAAATACATTTTTATGTGAAACCGTGTCACGAGCAGGTGTCTCATTACTTGTCAGAGTGCGAGGACTGGAGAAACATACTGACAAGTTTCTGCCCAGCCCTAATAAGCCCCAAGTTGATTGTAGCGTCACTCCTTAGCACCCCTGTGGCTGCTAATGAGTGACATAGTGGTGGCTCCACAGCACAGCTGGGCTCAGGACCCTCCGACTCTGACCTGGCAGCGAATTCACCAGTCATAAACAGGCGCGCCTTCCACTGAAAGCTCTCTTATGCATTATACAGTATGTGTGCAGAGTTGGACTGCTTTCTTTCCTTTAGGGCTTGAGATCCTCCCTTATCGGGTGTAAATGCTCTTATCATTTCAAGAGATCTTTATTTAATCATGCCCTCTCTCCGTCTGCGTTCACAGGGCAGAGGTGGTGCTCGGAAACATCATAAAGAAGAAAGGATGGAGGTATGAGGCATGCCTTTAATTTGGTTATGGTGGTTTTTAATTTCCGTCCTAGTCAGCTTTCCCTAATCTTGTATCATCTACCTTCCTCGCACATATTGGGAGGCAGTGTGTTGTGAACTGGAAAGGTAAGGTAGGGAGATGAAAGATTCATACCGGCAGCCTTGCCATGCCCAAACTTCTGTGTCCCTTCTCAAATGTCCTGAATAATGGATGAACTTCTAGTGCCTTGCCTTCTACTTTGTCTGTGCTAGATTGGCGTTTGTATAGCTCTGGCTGGTTATATGGTGCTGGCTGAGCTCTGGCACAGTTGCACTTTTTGTGGGATGTGGGCGCGTGTGACGTTGAAAGAATACGGTAGAAATGCACAACTAGCCAAAGGATGTATAGGAGCTTTTCATCCTTGCCGTAAATCCATATAAGGTTTGTGTAGACTTTAGAAATCATCAATGTATGTGAGGCTTTTTATGCCATAATTCTCTGTATTTGGCAGGTGTTGTAACAGATGTGCTTTCATTTTCCATTTTTCAGACGTTCGAGTCTGGTGATAACAACAAAGATCTTCTGGGGTGGAAAGTAAGTTCCATCTGGTTGCTTCTTTGACTCAGCATGCATGTCCAAATGAGAAACGATCCTCCTGTGTTGTTTTTTTCTCGACTTGTTTGATGCTCCTGGTAATGGGATCATGTGTCATCCAAACTGATCTGTTGTCAGGCACTTTCAATAAAGCTGGAACATTTCCTAGAGCACCGTGGAGGGGCAGGTCCAGTCATATTTCAAGTAATTGTTTATAAGTTATGTCTTTTTTTTTTTTGTAGAGCGGAAACTGAAAGAGGTTTATCCCGAAAACATATTATAGAAGGTAAGTAGCAGTGCTTCAGACACTGCAACAACAAAAACACTTAGTAAGTAGTTGCTTTGGCTTAAGGGAATCAAAGCTGCATTCTCTTGGTGATACTGGAGAAAAGCATTGGGTAAAATAACCCCGGGACAGTAAATAGTTGGAGAATCCTCTGCATGAATTATCTAGCAGTATATGGATTGGGTTTTTATGAACAACATAATAATGTAGCACAACAGAGGTTCACTGTTACTAACTGTAATGCTTATTTCTAGGTTTAAAGGCCTCTCTAGAAAGACTGCAATTAGACTATGTGGATGTGGTTTTTGCGAACAGACCGGACCCTAACACACCTATGGAAGGTAATTCTTCTATTGTCTCTACTGTATTCTTTATTGCTTTTGAAATATCACCTATTTTTCTCTTCCCCTCTCACACACACGTTTGCCTTATGGTTTGTCGTATTGCACATAAAAAAATTCTCTTTTACTACTGCAAAGACTCAAATATACAAACCTCTAAAATATCCATTTTAAATGCTGCAAGTTGTCGCGGTGCTTCCACCTCCACAAACAGAATGAGGACAGATACTGATGCTGGAGACCTTTTTTAAATGGCAAAGAGCTAACTGTGTGGACTCAGCTGGTTACACAGTGTGCATCTGCTCCCGTGTCAGAGTTCCCCTTTGGATTAGAGTTCGGTCAGAGGGCATCTCCCTGCCTTCAGTGTGATGCTTCACAGCCTCTGGCTGTTTCACAATACTTTCGTCTCTCGTTAGTCAGAAGTAGCTGGTGTTTGACATAAAAGTCCAGGCAATTCTTTTGGCCATATGCCCTTTAAAGATTGCACACAGTTCACATGGACAGCTTTGCGTCTGTCTTAAAATCCACAGTAGTTGGACCATCTGTTATATTTTATTCTGGAAGTAGCCAAAGGGCAGCGTACAGGGTAAAGAGAAGGTGAGCTTCTGTTAGTTTACGGAGAGAACCCTCTTAAGCCAAGCACCCACTAGATGATAGGAGGAATATTTGGTTGTCTGAGGCACTTTTTAGAAATGGCACATCAGCAAGGCGGATAGATGAATGGAGGACACACCCCTGTTTTATTACACTCCGGTGCTCCTGATCTTGTCTGGGACATGCTTTGTATTTTGGTTGGCGGTCGAATGAAAAGGAATTGTCCCTAAAACGGAAATTAAAGTTGGTGTTATGTGAGATTTTATCTGCCTGTCTCACAGGGTCAGATATGGCTGGAAAAATTTAATTCCTATCCGATGGCTTCAGATAAAATACAGTGACGTGTTGACAGGATAGCATGAGATTAATCTGTGTAACATTCAGTCAAGCCTACAAGGCAGCACGTTAGTGGAAAAAAAAAATAAAATAAACCCTCCATATTGTTATGTTTTATAGAACATCAATTTTAAAATACAAACTGTAGTCAGCTTGTCAACCTTGCGAAGATGTTTTGTCTGTGATTTACAGATATGAACTGGTGCAAATATGCCTGTCACCTCTTATTTATTTCACTGGGCTCTTTTTATGTTCCCCTGTAGCATGTTGCAGATAAACAAACAAACAGATTCTGGTGTCCCCTTTATGAATAGATGTCATCCTCATCAGAATGAATCACTCAGCATTCTGATTAACATAATCAGCTTTTCCACTTCTCGGTCTTCTACCCTGAATGTCCTGGCCATTTGGATTGCAAATGATAACAAAAACATTTTCAAAATAATAAAGAACAAGCAGCTCAGATAGGCATACAGTAACGGTAGGTTCTCAGGACATTGTCGGTTCTACGGAGCGCCATAGAGAGTGGAAAAACAGAAAAAAGAAAAAACTGAAATAATATTAATTTGTAAACACAACAGGGTGACTCCAGCACTGATGGTGTTTTTAACATTTTTGTGTATTTTTACTTGCAGAAACAGTTCGAGCAATGACCCATGTGATAAACCAAGGCATGGCAATGTACTGGGGAACATCCCGCTGGAGCCCAATGGAGATAATGGTGAGACTTTGAGTAATTGTGCGCAGTCCGAAAAGTTACAGGGGAACTCAGGGTAAATATTAACTTCCAACCGGGGCTGGCCGATTTGATCAGAAGTGTTATGACGATAAAAAATTTCATATCATTTGATATCGATAATTATCACAATGAATGTCAAATCATTGTTTCTTACAAGTTTAAGTGAAAGTTGAAGAAACCAGATGGTTAATTGTGGTTTTAAACTATTCTTTATAGTCAGAACATGAGAAACACTTGATGCCCAACAGTGGGTCAATTAACAAATCTGAGGTAGAACATCCAAAACAATTATGATTCATTCTTTTTTCAACAAAAATGCATGAGTAAAATTAAGCGCAATCTTTCTTCAGTCCCTTTCCCTCAACAAAATAAATTATATTGCGATAATTATTGTTTTATCGCCCAGCCCTACTTCCAACTTGGCTTAAGTTTTTCCTTCCATCACAAATAAGTTGTCTTGCTGTTCTTTATACTATATATGTAGTACTGTATATGTGCCTAATCTTGTTTATTCCAAATTTTCCTTTAGGAGGCATACTCTGTGGCGCGACAGTTCAACCAGATTCCCCCCATCTGTGAGCAGGCTGAGTACCACATGTTCCAGAGAGAGAAGGTGGAGGTGCAGTTGCCTGAGCTCTTCCATAAGATCGGTGAGCACAATTTGACAAAAACTGACAGACTAGGGAAGATTTCCGTTCTTTGTGGCATATGGACACACAAGTCAGAGGATGAGCATCGTGTACATCAAAGTACAGCAACAGATATCATGTTCTAAAATCTCTTTGTGAAAGCCTGAGATTTCATCCCGTGTGAATAGATAAAAATCCACTCGGTTCCTGTTTTTAAGCTGTGAAGCTGTCATTGGCTACTCCAGCCTCAGAGATGTGCGTCACTGTCTATGTAATTGTGCACGGGCCCATCCAGACTTAAATGGGTTCAAGTCTTGTGTAAGTTGTCACACAAATTATACAATCAGCAGTCTGTGACTTGAGTAACAAGAAGACACACAAAGTCCTGTCAAGCCAGTGAAAAAAGGCTCATCTTAAAATCCATTTTAAAAGAAAGAGGCACACCTTTTTTTCTTGATTGTGATGATTACATGTTTTTGTTCTCAGGTGTGGGGGCCATGACGTGGTCACCACTGGCCTGCGGGATCATCTCAGGGAAATATGACGGCAGGGTGCCTCCCTACTCTCGGGCCTCTCTGAAGGTAGACATACCTCGCTCTCTCTGTTTCCTGTATCTATCCCACTCCGATCATCTGTGCTGGTGTCACTGTTCTGTGTTTACCTGCAGGTTGTTTGTTTGTTTACTGTGTGTTTGTGTCTTTCAGGTTCTGTAACTGTGCACACCTCATATCTGTGTGTCTGTCAGTGCCATGTTGACGCCATGCTCTGTGTGTACCTCTTCCCCAGCAGTGCTGTTCAACACCGTTTGCCAGCTGGTGTCAGCTTAACGCATTTTAGCGCACAATACATGTGCACAAAAATGCATACGCACAGAACATTAGTAGTGCAGCATGTGTACAATTTTATTTAAAATTGACACTATGGATACCAACAGTTTTTAAACTCATAAAACTGGTAGATGAATCATGACGCAATGTTCTGCCAGGCAACTCATACGTGACCTAGAATCATTTTTTTTAAAGGATTTAGGGACCAGCACAGCCACAGTAACTGAACACTAAAAAATGCTTTTCCTCCCATTTAATGATTTAATTCAGTGAGCACTCACTGAAAATAGTTCACTTTAAAGTAACAGATTAACTCAGGAAGAGAGCAGTAACACAATTTTTAATGCACAACCACAGATTTCACTTTTTATATATATATCTATATTTTGACATCCAGTAAGTTTTGAGTCCAAAACAAGACAAGAGAAGCTAACACCTGGCTCAGTGCAATGATGTGTGCTTGTAGTGGAGTGGCATGTTGTTTATCTGTGGATTGTGTGTCTGACTGTGGATTAGACCCCTCCTGATTCATGAAACCAGCTCTACATGTTGGTGTTGTGCAGTTGTGCTGCTTCCTGTTTGGTTCAGTGTTGCCTGTGGATGTTTGTGGTATTTTGACTCATTAACTCAGTGACTATTCTCACTGTTGTCTAACTTGTTACTAACGGCATAATGGTATAATTCCTGATTCTTGATGCTGTATAAAGATCACTGTTTTGACTCAGTTGAGAACAAATGGATATGATTTCAACAGGTACAGTAATAGTCAGCTTAAGTAGAGAATTTTTCTTCTTCTAATGTTTGTAACTTTGCAATAATAACTGAACTAAAAATATGTCAGTAAGCATAGCTGTAGCTATGTTTCCCTGGCTGAGGCGTAGATGGTAGGAGACAGTGTCACTTGTTTAAAAACAGGCCCTGGTGACACAGGAGCTGCGGCGCAGCGGTGTGAGCAGGGCTGTGTTTTTGAGCAGGTGTGCTGTGTTTTCGACAGGGTTACCAGTGGTTGAAGGACAAGATCTTGAGCGAGGAGGGCCGGCGTCAGCAGGCGAAGTTGAAAGAGCTGCAGGCAATCGCGGAGCGGCTGGGCTGCACTCTGCCCCAACTCGCCATCGGTACGCAGATACACTCTGCCGCTCTCTCTCTTTCTGTCTGTCTGTCCGTCCCTCTGCCTCGGACGGGCCGAGGTCAGCGCCATCTGGTATGACTGTTGCTGTGTTGTGTTGTCACGTGTGTGTCTGTGCTGTAACAACTGGTTTTTTTGTTGTTGTTTTTTTTAAAGATATTAATGAGAAAATAGGGAGTAAAGCAAGAATAAGAAAAAAGGTAAATAGTGTTTATTAAAAGGGAAATGACTCATCTATCATTTATGTCATTGTCTCTCAGGGACCAATAGGAATTGCATTAACGTTATATACGGTGTCTCCTAAACAAGGATCTGGCACGGTCCCTTTGCATTCCTTATGTTGAAATTTACTGTCCAAATGTATTCAAACACATTTACAGTATAAATGTATGTATGTATACGCAGATATGTGGGTTTTCCCTGGTGTTGACATGTATTTAACAGTTTCCAGTGTCAGCATTAAAACAGCATCCCAGACATAAATCCACCGAGTGACCTGAAATCGATTGACTGCCGGTCAGGAAAGTGAGAATGTGCAAACCCCGACGACATACGCCCCTCTGAGGACTGTTAAAGCGGCAGGCGTTGGTGACACAGCGAGTAAATCTGGGACTCCTCTTTCTATCTCAGCGCAGATCACGGCATATTTTTCACCCTGGCAGTAATGCGGTGTCATAGATTAGGTTTCACGGCCCATTAGCGGACACCCTCATCTCACCCATTTACCGTAAATCCTTCCAGCGCTCCTGAAGGCAGCGCAGAAGATTAATGTCCACCGAGGCATTCCTGTAGATCACTGTGGCACTCCCAGTATTGAATAAAAACTATATCACTATGACAGAGTCCTTCCTGCCTTTGGCTTGAGACTGAGGGCTGGTGGTAAATTCAGGAATGAGATGGTTGAAGTCTCCCTCCCTTTATGCCGTAATCCGCTTAAAGGTGTATTTTCCTCAATTGCAAAAGCATGTAGTTGTATCATACAGCTCACCATCATAATAGCACACCAAACAGATTAGTTTTTTGTTTGTTCAGAGATCACGAAGTGTTCATTGCATATTATAGCTAGCAGTACATTTACTGAAGTACCATACTCAAGGGCAGTTTTTTGGTACTTCCACTACAATTCAGAGAGAAGTATTGCTCAGTTACATTTATTTCATAAAGGGATGCACTGATCCATTACACTGGACTGGTATCGACGCAGACTGACACTTATCAAGTGGATCAGGATTCGGGCACGGTTTCTTTTGTCTTTTTAAAATCCAGAGTTTCTGCCATCAGTTGCAGTCATTCAGTCATGGCGGGCTGCTTACTCTGTTTTTAAGTGCAACAGAAAGTCTCAGTGAATTCCACGCAGTGAGGTATACAGATTTTAAATTTAGGAGTATCGGATCAGTGCTCTGCCAGCAGGATACCCTGTGCTGAGGTATTGGAATCAGTCAAAAATGAAACTGGATTGGTGCGTACCCAATTTCACAGAAAGTTACCACTCAACTTTAGATAAGTTAATATACAAAATGTATATTATAAAATACAATTATAGATTAAATGTATAAAGTAATTAAAATGAGCAACCTAACTTAAAATGCTGCTGTTTACATGTTAATTCATAATAAAAAATATATATGTTCTGCTACGCTGATAGTGCTTCTGCATTCAAAAGTTTACCTAAATGTATAGCTTGTAGTTGAGTATTTTTGTATTGTGGCGAGTAAAGGATCTAGGAGAGTGTTATTGTGATGTGTGACCAGAGAATATTTCATTTCTAAGAAGGACATGTTGCAGTAGCTTCCATGTTTTATCAAAGATTGTCATTTGACAAGTGTCTGCAAGGCGCTTATGTGGAAATGGTGTGTTTGTGTATAAATAGTACTGTCAGAGTGTGTGTATGTCCATAGTCCATGTCAGGGGTGTCATTGCTGTTTACTGGTCTCCTGCAGCGTGGTGTCTACGGAACGAGGGGGTGAGCTCTGTCCTTTTAGGGGCGTCCAACACCGACCAGCTGATGGAGAACATAGGAGCAATACAGGTGAGGACACGGAAACCAGTTTGTGTGTGTGTGTGTAGACGTGCTTGTTGTTCTGCCGAGCACATCAGTGGCTTAACTTGTGAAAATGTGACCCGTTTCATCAGCTTCGGTATCCGTGCCTTACAGTCGTAACAGCAGTCCTCCTCTCCTGGGTACAGCTTGGTCTCTCGGGCAGTTTGCAGCTGCACGCTTGGGTGCTTTACTGTACCGAGTTAATAAGGTCAGCAGAGTATCAGTTGCCAGGGGGATTGGAGACGAGCTCAAGGCCACTTCTTCCTCTCCTGATAAGATGCACTCTTTTAATGGGGTTTTCAGAAAGGTGGGGGTTTACATCCTCTCCTCATATCATGTCTGGTCTGCAAGAAAGAGCATTCCTGCTCTTCTCTATTCCGATGCTGTGTGTGTGTGTGTGTGTGTGTGTGTGTGTGTGTGTGTGTGTACACTACATACTATAATATCCATATGTCTCCCCTCCCGTAGCACTTCCTTTTACTGTGAGAACCTGAAATAGACATACAGTCGCTCATGTGAGCATAAACTTAAATATTTTTTCATTTAGTATGTATTTAATATCTACACTGTGGAAAATTATAGAACAATTTATCTTAAATATTTTCTATGGTTTTTATTTAATCATGATGAATTTAAACAATTTTCTGGATTCTGTAAAAGAAACTGGAGAAAAAAATGTTTCTTATCATGGATCTGTAATAATAAAGAATATATATAATAACACTGACAGGGGCATTTTGCTCACACTTTTAGCTAATGCTTTTTACTTAAGTAAAACTTTGAAGGGAGGGCTTGTGCTCATTGCAACTTTTGCTTCAGTAAAGCATCTGAATGCTTTGTCCTCCACTGTATAAACAACAGCAGCTGAATGTGAGTATAAAAACAAACCACTGTGTTATTTTAAAAAACATCCACAAGCTGTAAATAAACTGGAGATCAGTTTTAAAACTGCCTACTTTTACACTTCACTACATAATCTTAAAGCCACAACGATGGTAACAACCCCAAAAAGTCACCCTTCAGCACGATCTAGAGGCTGTGATGTGCTCCTGCAGACAATGTAAAAGAAACCGTTAAACAATGGTAAACCCCACTGACGGTAGATACAAGCGGTAACATACATTCACCCTTCGTGTCTCTCTCCTGTCACAGGTTCTTCCAAAGTTGTCGTCGTCCATCACACACGAGGTGGACAGCATCCTGGGGAACAAGCCGTACAGTAAAAAGGACTACCGCTCCTAACGCGCAGCATGGCCCCCGCCCGGCAGGCCTGCAGCCGCAGCGCCCCACCTTTGCCTGATCCTCTGTTTGCTTGAGCTTTTACTGAGTGAGACCCTGGCGCATGAGTCTGGCCACACCAAGGCTACCCAGGGCAACTCATTTAGAGTCACGGGTATAAGATTAAGAAAAGGGGGGGGGGATAGTCACCTCCACAGGAAAGGAAGGGATTTGACAAGGAAAGACAATAAGTGGAAGAGACATTAGGGATATGCGCTCATACTTAATCAGTTATACATTCAATTCAGCTCAACGTATTTTAAAACCGTAGAGAAAAAATCTTTAAAAAAAAAATAAGCACACGCTTGCTTGGCAGCCAGAGTTTGTTTTTTTTAGCTCTTTTTTTTGTTCTTTCTAAAACTGAACGCAACTAAAAAGAAGATGAAGTTCTAACTGTATGAATATACGAGAACTACTCTGTTGCACATGTACCATAGCCATGCATTTGTTCTTTGGACCTTCTGTTTACAAACACCAGTGTACTGTACGAGTCCATCAAGGTTTCTCTGAAAAACTGTTTGTTTGTGTTGTCAACATTATCGGTGTACGAGCCTCCTCGGGGAGGGGGGCTTTATAGCACTTTAGTATTGTCAGTATAGATGTTGGAGGGGAGAGGGTGGGTATTACAATAGTCTTATCTCAGCCATTGCACTATAGAATCACATCGCCTCCTGATAATTCCCTCTCCTCATCCTCCCTCTGCGTTTTCACTGGCAGTACGTTTGTCCAGCCTGACGCTCCGACACAAGCGTGGCAAGCCCGAGGATTGGGGAGGGGAGGGGAACAAACGCCCCCTCTACCGTCCTGACCAGTGAACCGTCCGTGACGACCAGCCAGGAGCGCAGGTCGCATGCGTCAGGGCATCTCATCTGCCGCTGACGAGGTTAGCTGTTCATCCGTCCCTGCTTCACTGTGTTACCCGGCCTCTGTTCTGTTTTTCAGGCTGAGGATTTACTGGACAGGAAGTGGTCGTGTCAGTGCTGGCTCCACATCTCATGGATACTTGTCCTTGATCAAATTTTGTTCAAGCATTTTGCCTTATTTACAGTTGCACCAGACTGTGCTGCGGGCGCTGGCGTAGACGAGCAGCTCGACAGCTGCCCCTCTGGCCCGACTTGTCTCATGTCCCCAGTATCTACGGGAAAGCTGACTGGTGGGAGTGCTGTTTGTTTGCGAAGGGAGAGGTGGCGCGTGTCCAGTTCATCAGTGAGTGGCAGCAGCTCAGGGAACAGAGCAGGTGGTTTTAGTTGTGCGTTGGCGTGCACATGGTCAGGAGGTTGTATTTACTCGTCTGTCTTTCTTTCATGTGTGGACACTGGAGAGGACCAGTGACATTTTAGTGTGGCTTGAGCCAAAGATCTTCTTCTTCATCTCTTCGATCACACACCCCGCGCGTTTCACTCTCACTTCCTGCAAGATTATAGAACTCATTTTGACGCATGTGCTGTCTAGCTTGTTATCTATCTATGGTACGGATTTTACTTCATAAATATCTTTACTTGACAATGCTGTTATACTAGCTAACAAATACGTCCTTCATATACAGAATGCATAGCAAAGCTACTTGCTTTAGGATCGGTAAGGTTTGTTTCAGGCGACGTACGACCTGAGGCGTGTCAGAAGTGTTATTGCAAAAAAATTTGACGCCAACCTATATCATTCTTTCTCCTTTGGGTGCTTTCTTACTGTGATTAAAGCACAAGTGGGATAGCGTGTGACACATCCTCAAAGCATGGGCCCTCTTCACCCAGTGTACAGTACCTGCGTGACAAGCAAGGTGACGCGACGCCGCTTACTAGCACGTGTGGATAACTAATCTTTATTAACAGCTGATAAACTATTGATTCTTAACAGAAAAGGTACAGATTAAGGAAAACTGTCACATCCACGGGAATGGCGACGGGAATGAGACGGAGGGGATAGTCAAAGTGAACGTCACTGTGAGGGATTTGTGCAGATGAGGTTTAACAGTCTGCTTCGTTACTCCTAGGTGATTTTTTTAAAAACAGCTAAATGATTTAATGTCTCAGCTGTTGATCCTGTTTTTGTGTGTGTGGTAGTGTGTGTTTATATATCTATATATCTATATAAGGAGAGGGAGGGCGGCAACAAAACTAATCCTGTGCTTTAGCCTGTTGTATAAGTTGACCAGTGTACACGTTTGATTTGCTGTGTCTGAGTGAATAAATCTGCTGCAAGCCGATCTTAACATCAGTTAATATAATCTGTGGAGTTCCTTGTCTTAATACTTACATGTGCAGGGAGTTAAAGGACAAATTCAACAGTTTGGAAAATGCATTTACTTTCTTGCCAAGAGCTAAAAAGATTGATACCACACTCAAATAAATATGAAGCTAACATTACCGCCAGAAGCCGACAAACCTAGCATACAGACTGGAAACTGCTGGTCTTATTGTAGTAATATAATGCACCTACCAGCTCCTCTAAAGCTCCCTAATTAACAGGTTCTCTTGTTTGTTTAATTCGTACAGAAACTTAAGTTACTGGTCCTGGCCAAGAAATAGGTTGGTTTCCCCGTACTTAACTGAACCCAAACTTAACACCCTGCCATGCTTAACCTCAACCCAGCCAGTTGTCTCTGCTAACCATTACCTAACCTAAGCCCTAAAAAAGGAGACCCACTGGCAGCAAACAAATAACAGTTTGCTGGCAAATGCAACGTTCTGTGGGTGTTCACTGTAACTCCAACCCCAGAGGGCAGCAGTGCGGGAAACACTGTCCAAGGGGTGCGACAGACTTTGACACAATACTTGTTCATAACCCCCCCAAAAAATGTTTTTACGCTTTGTGTTTTGCACACATTAAACAAAGATGTAACATCTTAATTAGAGAGCTTTAAAGGTGCTGGTAGGCAGACCTTTGTACAGAGCCCTGCTAGCTGTGTCCAGTTGTTATGCTAAGCTAAGTTAGCCAGCTGCTTTAAGTGTGCAGACTCTCTGCAAGAGAGCGACCAAGTGTGTTTCCCCAAATGTCGAACTTTAAATGTTATCGCTTTTGCGTTTTGTTTGACCGCCAGTTTCTGCACATTGTTGAAATAACTCAAATGTTTTAAAGCTGAAGGGTCGTTACCCGGTGCCCTCGCCTGTGTAGGAGAAAGTCGTGCTTTAAGTGGTCCTAGTTTCATCATGTTTGCTGTTCTAACATTTAAATGTTTAACTGAAAGTTCAGAAATGAAACCAGAGCCACACACACATGGACAGAGCTTATTTTACAGAAGGTACTAGGTTATACAGAGAATATATTTTTTATGTTTTAGCCTTTAATGCACTAGAGAGAGTTAAAAGAACTGTTATTTTTTTCATCATGCTGCATTTTTCCTATTAGTATTGTATCAATTTGAAGACTGACAAAAAGAACTACATTTTCTTGTGTATGCATTATGAGGAATGCTCTGAAGTGACGTAGTGAGAGCCTGGTATCTCCTGTATATAGTTTGACCTTTGTATATATTTCTAGTTGTGATCACCTCTGCCTTTTCTCTTTTCTTTTTTAATTTTCTTTTGCAGGCATTGCTATCTGCACTGTGCTTGAATCTGAATTTAGACAGGATGTACAGCTTCAATGAAATAATGATAAATTAAGAATGGTTAAACCCTTATGTGTCTCTCTTTATTGGCATTCATGTGTAAAACCTCATTCTGGGTTGTTTTCTGGACTGTAGATTTGGCAGAGTTGCAAAGCCCTTTTTCATCCAGTAGAATACAAGGATGTATTTTAAACATTCAATTGTATACAGCAGTGTGAAATATAAATATGAAGCAATCTATACACAAAATCAATTCAGAAGAAAAATTTTAGACACTTAACCTTGGAGGAGGCGCAAATGAATGCTAGCTGTGTAATCCTGTGAACTATAACATTCCAGCTGTCCATTAAGGCATATTTAGTCAGTTAGGAATGCTTTTTTGTCATATTACACTATAAAAGTCTCAGGATCATTATAGTCTTTGTTGCATTGTACAGTAAAGCACCATAGCACCACTTGACTGAGGGTAGTACGTCATAATGTATAGATTGAAAAACAACTTTATACTACTGGCAAGTAATGAAATATGGTTTCAAAGGTTTAAGAGGTTGCATCATATCCAACAATAAAAAAAATTTGATTATTTTATATACAGTACCTGCAGAAAGGTATTTAGAGGACAAAATATTTAACACAAAATGCCAGAAGTGCAGTGACGCTGCACTTTGGATGTAGTTTTTGAGGAGACATTTTAATCCTGAAGACTTAAAAAGGTGTTTCACTTCAACTTGCGGCAAAATCACAATGTACCAGTGAGGTCAGGCTATTTGAAACGAGCTTCAACAGTTCAAAGGACACTTTGGCACGCAAAAAAAAGTATGATCCAGCTCAGGTCCAAACATGAAACTGCAGTTCTCATCAGAGAGTCTATTTCCACGAAGGTCCTCCAGCAGCCTGCCTCAAGTTCCTGTCACAATCTTTCACTCACTTGAGTCACCTCGGTAAAATGTAGCCGATCTGTCCCAGTTGTAGTTGGTCCAGCTAGATGGCGGTGCTATAATGACTTGTTGTGCTGCGAGCCTCCCCTGCTGCTGTAGGCGAGGCGTGGAGGTCCACCTGAGGAAATGCACACACAGAGCTGTGAGGCTCTGCAAACATTCATATTTGATTTTGTAACAAAGACGACGACAGGAGGAGAAAGTGCAGCCTCTGCAGCTCCCAAAGCAGCCAGTGACTGACTGCTGTCAGCACTTAAACTACTTATTTACTCTTATTTCACCAAGTCAGCTGAAATGCCTCTTCTGTTCTGACTCCACAGTCAGCAGAGCTCGGCACCTGCTGTCCGTGTGGATGTAATGATGAAGCAAGATAACTGTTAAGACAGCGGGGGGTGCATGTCATGCCGGCTCCTCATTACTGTACCTTCTTGACAGGAGAGTCCGATCCAGTTGTACAGGCAGGTGCAGCGGCCGTTGCGTCGGTCGCACTGCGCCCCATTCTCACACTCGCAGGTCTCTGCGCAGTCTGGCCCGTAACGATTCGCTCTGCAGTCTGGCATGAAACACACATGAACAAGGTTTAACAAAACTACACAGAGATTGATGTAAATTTAAAGGAATAGTTTGACATTTTGGGAAATACGCTTACTGTATGAGATGAGAAGACCACTGTCATATCTGTACTGTAAATATCAAGTTAAGCCGGTGTGACACCAAAATGTGTGACCTATCAGATTCTGTGACACAAATGGGAAGTTAAGCGTCAGAGGCTTTGTGTACGTTGTGAAGCGGTTGCAATTTGGTTAGTCAAATGGGTTTAAGTCACAGATTTTGGTGTTACAGGCAGTTGGTTAGCTTAACTTAGCATAGAGGCTGGAAATGGAGAACCCCCCCCCATTTCCAGTCTTTATGCCATGCTAGACTTAGCGGCTATTGGTGGGGTAACTTGATCTAGAAAGATCAACTTTAAAGTGGTATTGATCTTCACCTCTGACTCTTTGCTAGAAAAGTGAATTTCCCAAAATATCGATGTTCCTTTAAAATGGTAGGCAGCTCAACAACACAACTTCATGCCGAAGGATAAATTATCCGTCTCCCTTCTCCGGTACAACCTGCTTCACCAAATGTTTTTGGCCAAGTTGCCTTCATCAGAATCATGTCTGAGGTTATTTCCAGGTTCATTTATACACAGTCCATCCCTTAAAGTCATGTTTACTCACATATACATACTAAAATTAACAAGTCATCCTTTTGTTGTAGTTTATATCCAATAGAATATGAACTCCAAGTGGACACAATCTTAAAATATTTAAATAATAACAAACTTTTCAAAATATTGTTTGGCAAATAAAATCTTTCAATCTTTATTATTATATTAATGGATAACTAATTAATTCTAAAGTCAACCTGAGTTTCACTTGAACACATCCATTTTTTAATTAAACACTTTTATCCTCTAAAAAAAATGCCACTTCTTGGACAACAAATAAATAACTAGTAGATTAAAGGTAAAAGTAATTCCTCATTTAACACTCTGGTTTATAGTGCAAAATTTAGAAAACATAAATGCCTCCCTCTGAACGAGCAACTTGTAAATCTGCCCTTCTCTTAATGCTGCACAGAAGAGGAGTTGGGCAACATGTTTTCATTTTGATGGACTTGCATTGAAGTGTGTGTTCTCAAAGTTAGCAAAAGGATGGAAGATTACCGATGTCACATCTGAGTCCAGTCTTCCCTGAGGAGCAGAGGCATCTTCCCGTCACAGGGTCACACGGGGCGTCGTCCTCACAGTCACACACCTTGGCGCAGCCATGACCGTAGGTACCCCGTTGACACACTGAGAGAGGGGATCAGTTAGGCACAAAAGGTGGTGGTAATCCTGTTTTTATACTGGAGTAATCAGCAGTGATTCGACTGACCTCTGTGACAGCGAGCTCCATGGTGTCCTGGAGGACAGATGCAGTGGCCCGACACGGGGTGACAGGAGGCTCCGTTCATACAGTCACACTGCAGCTGGCACAGCGGGCCATGGAGACCAGGAGGGCAGGCTAAGGACGAGGGATTCATGCCACAAGATTTAAATCTGACCTTTGTGGTCTCACTGAATTAATAAACAATCCTGACTTATTAAAAATGTCATTTTCTGTTTGTTCTTTTGATAAATACAAAATGCACTTTTGAGATGAGGCTGGGCATCAAAGAGTGGTGGGTACATTTACTCAAGTGACGTACTTTACTGTCATTTTGAAGTACATGCACTTCTGTTTTATGCTAATTTATACTTGCTACTCCTCCATACTGCTCCACTATATATCAGATGAGTATTGTACTTTTTACCACATTTATTTGAAAGCTTTAGTTACTTTTCATATAAAGATTTGACATAAAACATATGCTAATTTTAAAAAATGCATTGTGAAAGATTAAACCTTCTGGCCTGTGACAAAAAGACAGTGTCGCATATTAATATACATTTGGTGAGTATTTATGGCTGCAGGATGCTCGTATGGGATTGACTCAAAATAAAGTACAGTGCCCATTTTTTATTTATTTTTGGACAACAATGGAGCTCTATGACTAAGAGGAATATAATGTTTCAGGCTTCAGCTACACAGACAAAACCAAGATTATGGACGTCTCCTTTAATCCTAATTGAGAGTATAGTGTTCTTTAGGACCCTTCTGTCTCTCTCTGTGTGTGTTTATCTGTTCAGTTCTCACCGTGCTCACACAGATGTCCATAGTAGCCGGGGCCACACTGACACGTCCCTGTCACTCTGTCACAAGTGCCGTTATTTTGACAGTTACATTTCAGCTGGCAGTTGGCTCCAAATCTGCCCACAGGACATTCTGAGAGACAGATGAATAAAATAAGAAGATGCAGTCACAAAAAAAAACAAACAAAAAAAGCTAAACTAACCTCATGACTTAACTCTCTGCAGCAGGATCATGTATGCGAGACTAAGCAGAAGCAGGTGGAAAGAAGAGGCCGGACTGCATTAAGAAACAAGATAAAAGTCTGAGTGCTGTCACCTTTATCGCAGTGTGGACCAGCCCAGCCCAGACCGCATGTACAGTTGCCGGTAGCGGAGTCACAGACGCCGCCATTACTGCAGTTACAGCGCTGGACACAGTCCGCCCCAAACCAGCCTGGAGGGCAGCCTGAGGCAGAAAACACATGCTCAAATTAAACACATTCTGCTTTATTATCAAACCAGACACATACAAGAGAGCAAAAGTGTTGGTTTTATTCTGAAAGATTATTCCTGCTGTTGTCTGTACACTGAACATCCACTTGCAGACGTCAGGGCTTGTTTTAGAAGAAGCTATTTGCCGCCCTTCGTTTTTGAAGAACTTATACAGACGTGAAAACTGCCCGACCTACATAATCAGTCACAGTAAGCACAAAGTTTCGTTGACACTAATGGAAACCTGTCTAAACTTTTAAATGAACAGAGGGCTCCTCCAGAGATCTGAGGTTGTTCACAAACTGACAGAGGTCAAGAGGTCACAGATGAAACGGAGACGGCTGTCGGGTAGTCGTGTCACATCTGATACTGGTGTTTTCAAGGCTTGTTTCACTATTAAAAAGCAGTGACATTCGAAGCACTGTGTCAGAGCTTTCTATAAAACTGCAATAACCACAAAATTGATGATGTCTGAAGGAAGTTCTGAAGTCAGACATCGTTTGACATTGTAGTAGTGTCACTGGCTATGATTGCACAAGCACAATTACTGTAATAAACCCAGTTTGCTGATAAAGCCAATGTAACACATGTATTTATTACATCTGTCCAGTTACATTATATTAAGTGTCTTCATAAGCACTTTCACCGTCTCCTGACATCACATGAACTCAACTCTTATACTATTCTGTTTGTAAAACTGACTAGGAAAAAATCAGTGACAGAAATGTTTTACACAGACGAACATGTAAGGATGAAATGCAGACTTAACTTGCCCTTAATTTTTGTTTACTTTCTATTCCAGTTATTGAACAAGATTTATTATACTTAAATTAGAAAATCAAGCACTGGTCTGGTCACAATATAGGAATCGAGCCTGTGATCTCCTGTACGGGAAGCAAAAGCTTTCACCACTAATCTTTTTGCCTCACATTTAATTGGTGAGGCAG